GTGTTTTCGCGTGAAAACATGAGCTAAGCCTATCGTTTCCTCGGGGCTCCGCAGCGAGCCCTGGCGAATTGTCCTGTGCTGGTGGTCCCCTCTACAACTGTTAATTGGTAACTTGGAGATGGAAAGTCCTTATTAGCAATGCTCCCCCTCTCCCCCCCGCATCCCTCCGCTGAAGCCAACCCCGTGAGGCGATTGCCAGGAGGAGCTGTTTGTCAAAGGCTAATAAACAAATTCCTCGCGAACACCTGAATGAAGGAGGGCCAAGAACAGCCCAATTAAGAAACGGAGCTACTGGTTGTTTTTTGTGACGGTGGAAACAATCCGGTCTCGCAAAGGGTCTATTCAGCGGGCGCTCCGAGAGGTCTGTTTGCAGCCCGCTATTGTTGTCAGAAGCCAAATAAAAGTTCAGCTGGGGGGGTAAGGTGATTAAAAACAACATTCGGCGCTGCCTCCTGAATGCACTGGGAAGGCTCGGCTCAAAGGAATCGATCTGTACCCAAACGACGCTGCCCGGGTTTTACCCACGCACTTAAGATTTTTGTTCTTAAATGTTGCTATTTTTAATGATGACATCAAAAGTATCCCCTGCTCTCCCGTATACGTGAGACAACTGTAGTCTCTGGTGCAGCATCGATATCCACGCGGCAAAGTGCAGGGGAAGCCACAGAAAGGAGTTGGAGCTCGTTTGTCGGAACGAATGATTTGTTCTCCCTCTCGCTGGGCTGGACGCTTGGTCCAGCCATGTCAGCCTGGCAGGTGATCTTGAGCTGTTTTTTTGACGTGACACTGTTAGGTGGGGACTAAAAAAATCTCCTAACGACCTTGGGCTGCAGAACCAGCCTGAAATGATTCATTTAGCAGCCACGTTACCATGCTGGAAACTTCTAGGGGACGACGTGGTTTCGAGCCTAAAACAGGGATCAAACAGAAAAGCTCATGAACTTTTATCTTAAGCATCGCTAAAAGCCTGGGCATTTTCGGAGGATCATCCTAGCGAGGGTCAGCAGGGTCCAAACAAAAGGGCCACTCAGCTCCCTTGTCTGGGCAAGTTTCGAGGACAAGCCCTCGCCGTTCTTGGTCGGGAGTTAGGCTGGGGACCAGGGGTGATGTTTTAATAATAGGATTAAACGGGGCCGGTTTGGGGCATAGCGTTATTCTTTAAAAGCCAGCGATCCTCCCTGACACCGTTCCAAGATTCCCCCAAGCTCTGCTGTAGCTGCAATTAACATATATTAATGGGTGTTGCTTATTAAGCGCTGATTGCCTAAGAAGCAGACGGTCCCTTTCAAACGTGCCTGTGCAGCCGTTCAAGTTGGATTGTGCTGTAAACTTCTGATTTTGCCTCACACTCCTTTGTCACCAAAACGAAGGAAAAAAGATGGGCTTCTTTGCCTTTGACAACTGTATTTACGCGACCCCGAGTGGTCCCGACCCCCACCAGGCACACGGGGTGACGGCATCTCCCCTACTCCCGACCGCCGCCG